CTGCTATTACTTATGCAAACAGGTCTTTTATGGCCTTTATTTTTGCAAATTCCAATTACTCTTATATTAGTACCCTTTCAGTAATGTAGGAGCTGTTGGATCCATTTTTAATTTTCCCTTGTTGTTTTCCAGGTATCTCTCATTAATTGATCATATACTACAGCCCTGTCCTCTAGGTCTGAGACTCTGACTTCACCTTCGTCCCTTCTGCTACCCATACATTCAATCACGGTTTTAATCTGGATTTCTGATTTAACTTTCTTCTAAATTGCTGTTCTTTTCTATGCTGGGCATTCATGTTTTTCACCTCTTTCTTTAACTTCACTAACTTTATTAATATCTTCTCTAAACTCTCTGATCATTTGTTTGATTACAGCCATTATGTGAATAGTTACATCTTCTTTAAATTCACCAAGCATCTTGTAGAACTGTTTTACCTCTATTGTTATCCTTTCAGACCTATCTACTGTGTAGCTTATGACTTTCTCCCACTCAATACGCCCTGTACTAGTTTTGGGGGAGTTGGGAGTTTCTGGAGGTATGTTGTTGCCTTGTCTTTTCGTGTTTCTGTGTGTGTTTGTTTGTTTATTGTGCTGGAGTTTGCAAACCATTTGTCCCAGTGTCTCATTCTTTGGGGGTGGGGGGAGTGAGCCACAATATTTTTTATGATACCCCCCCACCCCTAGCAATCCAGGTATTGGCATAGAGAGAAAACCAATTGCCAGCCTTGTTACTTTGTCTATGGTAGTAAATTCAGCAAAAACAATGGTGTCAAATTTTGACAGGATCTTGACACACCTTAGGAACCATTCATAAAAAACCCTTTACCAAAGCAAAGAGAACTCTTTAGAAAAGACAATTAGGTCCCGCTTATAATGATCCATAGTAGTACAAAGCACCGATTTCTGTTGGATGTTGGCAGCAGTATTAGAGCTCAAACATGTCTATGCTTCCTTCTTTAGGACTGTCCTCTCTGACAACTACTCCCATTGAACCTGGTTTCCCACAAGAGGACACAGGACCTGTGATCTTCCTGGTCTGATCCCTATTTAGCTCTAACCCCCTCTAAGCCTAGCTCTCAAGCTTCTCTCACCTGGTCTCTATGGAAGGGTATGACTTCAGTCATGGAGTGAAACTTTCTTCTTGGGCGTTGGTCTGTTCTTTGATCAAATTAGTCTGTTGGTTGTCTACTCTGTTGCCCTGTGCTATAGAGAACCTTATGACTGGAGGCAGGGCACACATTTTCCAGGTCTTCCTGGCACCAGCACAGGGCCCAACAACCATCAGTGTCAGCTGTGGGCAGGGTACTCTTGCTTCTTGGGGCCTCCCAGGTCCTTCCCAAGGCTCCAGAAGACAATGCTGTTGGCTGGGGGCAGGGCACATGCTCCCTGGATCATCCAGGCACCAGTGTGGGGTTCTGGCCAGTGGCCACAAACTACTGCATTATTTTTTTTCCTCTTAAATTCTTTTATTAGTACATTTTAGGTATACAATACATTTACATTCATCATTGGGAACTTGTACCTTTACGTGATGCATTTTGGTTCTTATTTTTTCCCCATTCCCCTGCCCTCCCTTCAACCCCTCCACCCCTTCCTATTTACAAAGGTTTTGTTTCCATTTTTTTCTCAAAATTACTGCATTATTGAAAGTCAATTATGTTAACTTATTTTATCTTTAGAATGTCAATATTATTAAACATTTGATTATAATGGATGTTATTAGTAGATGCACTGCCTGACTTTTGTCTGTCAAGAAGGCAGCTAGCTATACACACAAATCTAATAGTGTGCTATAAAAAATTATCTGTGATTTACTATTGAAACCTTGAAAAAGGTGTAATTTTGTGCAGTAGGATAGATTCAGGGAACATCAAAGAGAGAAGGTAACATTTGAGTTGTTCTCGAAGGATGAAAAGAAGTTAGCTTAGCAGGAAAGGGTCAGAAGTGTGCTCCAGGCAGTAGCACACACTAAAACAAAATCTTGGGTTAAGGACACACATATTCTGCATCAGTAGAATTGTGTAAGAAGAGTATAGTGTTCAGATGGGCAATGATTGTTTGAAGACTGAAAATTGAACATTTCATGTACTGATTAAGGAATGTCGGCTTTATCTTAGCTACAGTGATTTACTTAAGGGTAGCAGAGATTCAAACCAATGTTATAAAAGATTAACTGACAAGGTTGGATTGCTGGGTTTAAAAAAATTGGAGGTAGTGGGAGGTGTTGCTGTGTAAATTCTGAGGGTCTAAAAGAAGTGAGAATAAAGAAAAAATCGGTGGCATGTTAGTATCCAAGAGAGAAGTTCAGTAAAACAGAGAGAGAGAGAGAGAGAGAGAGAGAGAGAGAGAGAGAGAGAGAGAGAGAAGAGGCATCCCTAATAGCAACAAAAGGTAAAATATATCAAATGCTTACCATATGTGCTAATCTGAGTTCTGTTCTGAGTGGCTTGCACATATTAACCCATTATATTCAACATCCTGTCTGGGGTAGGAACTATTAAATTACTCATTTTACATTTGTGGAAACAGGTATGGAGAGAGACCTGTAGTTTCTAGTTTAATGAAAATGCCTTTGTCTGAAATGAATAAGAAAAGGAACATATATTGGAAGAGAAGAAGTTAGTTACATGATTGCTAAAAATTTCCAGACCCCCCCCCCTTTTTCCCCCTTAAATTCTTTTATTGAAACATTTTAGGTATACAACACATTTACATTTCTCATTGGGAGCTTGCATCTGTACATGATGTATCTTGGTTATTTTTTACCCATTCCCTGCCCTCCCTTCACTCCCTCCACCCTTCCCTATTTACAAAGACTTTGTTTTCATTTCTCATAATTTTTCCTTTCCCTTCTTTCCTTTCCCCTG